TCGTCAAAGTTCTCAGAATAATATCGTGGACCATCACAATATATCGAATTACTTTTAAGTCTTTTTGCTTAAATGAAGAGTTTTGGTGCAGCAGTAGCTAAAAAAAGACAGAAGGAACTACATGATCCTTTGCTCCATTTCAGTGGAGACTACAAGAAGAAATAACAGTTCTAACACTTTTAAGTCTTAGTTCTTTGGTTTAAGTCTTGTCACAGCATTTTAAGCAGAAAAAGTAGCGTATTAACAGTTTTGTTAGACTCCAGAAAAATATTGCAGTAAATATTGTACCGTGAGATTTGAATATTGTTAAATCCCTAATCGTGAGCCTCCCCACCATATCATAAGCTTTCCCACGATATCACAATAAATATTGTATCGTGAGGTTTATACTGTGACGATATCGTATCATGAGACTTGGATATCGTTACACTCTTACCACAAATTGAAGACCTACACATCAAAACAATCAGATCATCTTTACTTCAGTTCATCTGAATTTTAATGAGCTATTTAGTTTAGGGTGACCAAACATCCGTTTTTCCCCGGACATGTCATTTTTTTTTTGCGTCCTGTCCTGGGCATTTTTTTATTTTATTTGTTTATTTTTTTTAGTGATGGAAATGTCCGGGTTTTCATGATCTTTCATTGGGCCATTAAATTGAGCGGCTCTCATAGCTCTGTGACTCAGAAGGAGCGAGCAAACACAAACAGTCTGTCAGTCTGCAACATGCCGAAGCACAAATGTGCATTTAACGATGATTTGTACAAGAAATTCTCCATTTTCCATCGTCGGGACAAGTGGGAGGCCATGTGCACAGGTTGCAAGGTGAGAGTAGCTCAATGTCGAGGCCCCACCCCCGATAAGGTGTCCGGGTTTTCACAAACGGAAATATGGTCACCCTAATTTAGTTTCATTTTATTTTACTGTTTTAATAAAAATGACTTATGTTAGCTTTGAGACCCAGTGAGCTATAGGTAGCAGGCTTATTTTGACCTCCAGAGCTGCTCATACAATATATTTTATCTGCACTTGGGAAAGACGAAGTTTGCTCAGATATGTAGGAAAAAGCAGCGCTCAGGTCAAGTCATTTCAAATAGTCTGTGCTATTAAAGCGAGATTATACAGCAGGTCCTCTGTCAACAAAAGCATGTTATTTTGTTGTTTTGGGACTGATTTGGTTTAACTGGGTCAATAGTTCTAACCTGATTCATCAGCCGGTTTCACTTCGTAGAAACCGTTTGACCTCACAGTGTTAGAATTCGTTCGCTCGACGGTAGGCAGGTACTTTTTTAAAATTTAACCAGTTGCTGTTATTTGGTCGTGATGTATGTAATGCACCACTAACGGATCTAACTGATATATTAAGCTTTTCCCAAATCCTGTGGGAAGAAGGACAATAACGTCTTTCCCCTTGATAAAATTCACCAAACATTCTCTTTGTTCCGACTTTAAATCCTCGATCTCGGGAATCGTTCACAAAACAGAATGTATCACTCTTCTCTGATTGGCTAGTGTTCGAATTTGCACTTCTGGGTTTTTTTGCGAACCGCCTAGTACAATGATTCTCAACCACTGTGCTGCGGCACACTAGTTTGCCGTGAGAGATCGTCAGGTGTGCCGTGAGAAATGATCCAATATCACTTTTTTAAAAATTTAAATTTATTAATTATTACCTGCAAACATTATGTAATTGTCGAGTGTCCGTGCTGTACTTACTACAGCACGGACACTATACTACAGTGTAGTATATAATGACTGGCAGAGTGATCTAATATTCGTCCGGGTGGCGACAGGCAGCTAATTGCCTCGTTCCTTTAAACCTAAGTCTACTTTTTGCCCTGTAGTACAGAATGCCACATTAAATACATTTGCAAAAAAAAGTTAACTTTGAGATTGATAAATTGTTTAGTAATAAAGAAAACCCACTACCTCTAATATTTCATTTAAAGAAAAATGTGCTTTGGAAGAGCTTTCAAAAAATGATAATATTGTTATTAAAAAGGCAGACAAAGGTGGAGCTGTAGTAGTGTGGGATAAAGACATGTATGTAAAAGAGGCTTATCGCCAACTCAACAATGAAGAATTTTATAATTGTCTTACATATAATCCCACAGATGATCTAAAAGTAGAGTTAAAACAGATACTTACTGAGGCACTGGAGAAGAACTGGCTCTCTGAATTAGAAGTGAAATTTCTTTTGAATGAGCACCCTAGGATGGCATCGTTTTATATGCTGCCTAAAGTTCACAAGTGCCTCACTAACCCTCCTGGTAGACCAGTCATATCGGGCAATGATAGTCTTACAGAACCGATTTCTAAATACATAGACTATTTCTATATCATCAAACCTTACTTGCCTTCCCTCCCAATTTATATCCAGGACATATCTGACGTCCTTTTAAAAATCAAGCAACTCAAAAATATAGGCCCAGAGTCCTTTTTAGCCACTATGGATGTTGAATCCCTTTATACAAATATTGAACACGAAGAGGGATTGGCAGCTTTGTGGTTCTATTTGAATAACCGCCCTACTAATATAATGCCACCAAATGAGTTTTTAATCAAACTCACAAATTGGACATTGAACAACAATATTTTTGTATTTGAAGATAAAATTTTCAGACAAGTAAAAGGTTGCGCTATGGGTGCCTGTTATAGCCCATCATATGCAGGCCTGTACCTAGGTAAATGGGAACATGATTTTATCTTTAATACTGAAAGAAATAAGTTTCACAATTCTATTGTTTGGTGGGGACGGTATATTGATGACATATGTCTGTTTTGGTCTAGATCAGAGACAGAGTTAAAAGAATTTCATTATTTTTTAAATAACATCAATCCTAATATAGACTGTCTTTGGAGTATAGCCAGGAAAAAGTGAATTTCTTGGATACTACAATTTATAAGGACAATGAAGGAAATTTACACACTACTTTATTTTGAAAACCTACAGACAGAAACACAGTTCTACATGGTAAAAGCTGTCATCCAAAGCGGCGTAAGGAAAATATCCCGTATGGACAAATGCAGCGTGTGCGGAGAATTTGTGATCAAGATTGTGATTTTGAAATAAAATCATGTGAGATGATGGACAGATTCCAAGATTGGGGACATAAGAAAGAGACCCTCCTAAAAGCTTACCATCGGGCAAGCCATTTAGACAGAGATGCTCTGCTTATTAGAAATCCACCAAAGACTACCAAGGAACGTGTCATGTTTAGCACCAAATTCAGCCATGAGGCTTACAAAATCAAGCAAATTATCAAAAACAACTGGGACATTATTGAGAGTGATGAGACACTGAAAGAAATCTTCCCAGAGCCTCCCTTGGTTAGTTTTAAAAGAAGCCCTACTCTCCATGACAAACTGGTCCACAGCTACCAGCCACCAGCACCTAAACATACTTGGCTTGGACCTCGACCAACAGGCTCTTTTAAATGTAACAGCTGCCCCCAGTGCACAAACATATGTCAAACCAAGTAATTTATGGACTATCATTCACAAAAAGAATACACAATAAAGCATTTTATCAACTGCAAAACAACTTTTGTTATCTACAGACTTGTTTGCCCTACTTGCAAGGTGTTCTAGGGATGACTAAAAGACGCCTACAAGACCGCTTGGCTGAGCATATATATGCTATCCGCACAGCCAATACCAATTATCCTATGGCCAGACACTTTTTGGACTTCCATGACAGTAACCCATCTAATCTACAGGTACAAGGAATTGACCATATACCAGACTCGTTATGAAAAGGAAACCGGATTGCTAAACTCAAACAATGTGAAACCTATTGGATTTTTAAATTGCAGGCAACAAAATATCCTGGGCTTAATGAAGATTTTGACTTCTCTGTGTTTTTATAACTGCATGGCATTTTTATACTGCATGGTATATTTTGTATATATTTTATTTTATTTTTTTGTAAATATTTCGTTTTTATATTCTCTATGATGTTCCACTGTTTTTTAACACTGCCATCTTGTGGCGTTATTAGTTGGTGTCCACAGGTGAGTCTCCACTCCTCCTCTTCCAGGTGGAGCAGCCCTATTGGTGGGTTTTTGTATTTAATTCACATGATTTGCTCTCAGTTCTGTTTGTCCCCTGAGGAAAGCCATAGGCTGAAACGCGTCGGGACTTTTTAAGTTGTCCATTAAGACATGCCGTAAACTAATAAAGGCATTTTATTTTGAACCAGTGAGTGCCTTGGGTTTTTTTGCATCTTTATACTGACTTTCCTTCCCAAAGAGCACCACTGAGTTGGATCTACTGTGTATTATCCTCTGAAGGTCCAGGAAGCCCTTCTTCTGAAACATTTTTTAATATTGTTGTATTTTGAACTATGCAAACACTAAAGCACACAGGAAAATGCCTTTTTATAACATATAACAGTTGACAGAGGCATTTTTGAATCAAATGTTAGAAAAGAAGCAACGGTTTGTTATTTTAATCGATACTTTGTTCATAAATATTCTCTATTTAGAAGTTTTAGAAGTTTCACATTTCAACCTTTATTTAATTAAAAATGTGTTTTGAAAATCGAATTTTACAATAAAAAATAATCAAGAATGGCGTATGCTGACACAAGTGAAACAAAGAAAAAGTGTGTGTGTGAGTTGTAGACTTTTGGAAACAGTGGGGCAAATACATATAGCCTATATATAAATATAAGAACCAGTGGTGAGTAGAGTAGCAAAATTGTACTCAAGTTAGAGTAACATTACTTCATCATAGTGGGATGTACATCCAATATTCCCAAAATATCCTTTTTTAAAATTTTGTTTTAATGACACCAACATTAAAAAAAAAAAAAAAAAAGAAAGAAAAAAAAAGGGAGCTCTAAAGAATTGCAGTGCAGATCTGTTTTTCTTTTGCTCAAGTAGTTAGAAGTATAAACATAAAATAACAAAGCGTTTTATAAAGCTTCCAGATTTTATTAATTTGTGTCCTGATTTTGAGAAACCACGTATTTGTGTTTTCTTATTTACGGAAGCCGAGAAGGGTCACAACAAACGCAAACGCCGCAACAAATACAAATGCGACAACACAACAAAAAGCCACAACAAACCAAAAAAAGCTACAACACACCAACAAAAGCCACAACGGAAATGACTGCGGGACTCTATTTTAATGCAAACGCCACAACAAATATAAACGCCACAACACAAATGCAAATGCCGCAACACATTAAAAAGTGACAACACATTAAAAAACTACAACACATTAAAAAGTCACAACGGAAGTGACCGCGGGACTCTATTTTCCGACGGATCACGCGGCAAGTGAAAAAGAAGAACTACAACGTGAAAAGTAAAGGAACGGAGGAGTTGGAGACGTAAGTAAAAGTAATTTATTGTTTTATCATTATTCGTTTTCCGCCCACCAATGTCAGGTTTGCTGCTGACTTTGTAGCGGCGGAAACACGATATAGTGCAGCTGCAGCTATCGATAGATATTACGCTAAGCTTCGTAAGAGTCATTGAGGGATTGATTATTAGTCATTTTCCGTCAGATTTAAGTCCTAAGTTGTCCTTGTGTGTGTCATCAGGATATGTTTTGTCCATTTTGTGGAGTGAGCCTCCAAACCGTGGTATCCTACTGTGGCTCATGTGGGAGAAATATTCAGTTTTTAAGAGGTCTTCAGTATGAAGGTAGGTAAGATTATTATATAATTGTTTGTGCTTTCCTTTGCAGTTCAGTTTGTTGCAACTATTTCGAATTGTTGGTCTTACTCCATAGACTTGTGTCCCACTTTGTTATGCCGAGGTTAGATCATAATATTCTATTTGAATTTCTACCCCTCAGGTGCGGAGACTTCAACAGTGGCTGATGAGCTAATACAGAGATATTTCACAGAAGGACACAGCTATGAAATAATAATGGACTTGCTGAAAACAAAGCACAAGGTTTCATTAAGCCTTAGCACTTTAAAGAGAAGACTACGTAATGCAAATTTGACCAGGAGGACCAACTATTCTCCTCTGGCTACTGTTCAGGCAGTCATTGCTGAGGAGCAAAGGGGAGTAGGCCAGCTCCTAGGATATAGAGCAATGTGGCAGACTCTCAAACAGAAGCACTCTATCGTGGCCAGAAGAGATGATGTCATGTGTTTAATGAAAAGCCTGGATCCAGCAGGAACAGCAAATCGCTCCAGTCGCAGATTTGTCCGGAGAGCATATTGTTCTGCGGGACCAAATGATACCTGGCATGTAGATGGGTATGATAAACTTAAGCCATTTGGAATCGCCATAAGTGCCTGTATTGATGGATATTCTAGAAAAATCATGTGGCTTAAATGTGCAAAATCCAACAATGATCCATTGGTCATTGCTCTAAATTATATCAACTGTGTCACTGAGTTTAGAGTATGCCCAAAGCGCCTCCGTACAGACTGTGGCACAGAAAATGGAATAATGGCAGCACTTCACTGTGTCTTGAGGTCAGAGCACACTGATGAATTTTCAGGGTCCAAAAGCCACATGTATGGCACATCAACATCAAACCAACGCATTGAAAGCTGGTGGTCCTTCTTTCGTAAACAAAGGTTTTTATCATTTGTATAATTTACTTAACCTCACAACTTGATTTTATACTAATGTTAACCATTACTTAGTCCTTTTTAGGTAGAACATTACAGTAAAATATGTGTTATCCCTGTAGGAGCCAGTTTTGGATGGACCTCTTTGCTGATTTGAGGGAGAAGCATCTCTTCAATGGGTGTCAGGAGCACATCTCTTTGTTGCGATACTGCTTTTTGGGGGTCTTGCAAAAAGAACTGGACACCTACAGGCAGCACTGGAACACCCACACTATCCGTCCTGTTCACCAGTCCAGATGCCCATCTGGTAAACCAGAAGCAATGTATCATGTGCCTCACAGGTGAGTATTACATTGTCATGTATTATTAATATTATGTATGTATATTTTAAACAGGGACAAATAGTCATTTGAAATATGTCTAAAACACAGTGAATTAATTAATTTAATAATGATTAATGAAACCAGCCCCGCCTGTACACCCCCATCTCCTGCCCCACATCTTCCCCCTTTTGCCACGACACCCAAGGGGCCACAATCCATCCAGGATTCTGTTCATATTTTAGCTTTACATTTGTCTTTGCAAATACCCTTAGACTGTAAAGAGTGCTAGTCATAAAAGTAAAAGTGAAACAAAATCAAGGCTTTGAATACTTTGTTGAATGTTGACATTATTCTGTACCTGTCCCTAGATTCCATGAGAGGAACTGTGGATTCCCAACTTCGTCACAAACAGTTCACCACTTATACAGCCTACTTCCTGCACGAACAACTCATGATGAACTGCAACCCATTTTTGATGAACTGCGTCGGCAGAGAGGTCTGGCAGCTCCTCTGCAGTGGGAATCTGCTGTGGAGAATTATGTTCTACTGAAGGACATGGCTGGTCTCTAAAACTACCCCTGCTGTTCAGGAAACCATTGAAGTGAAAGGTGGAGGATTTTTTAAGGCACTGCCCTAATATTGCCATCCTTGAAGTTGTAACAAGTTGTACATTTCAATAAAATTACGCATTACAGCTGTATGTTTTGTGCAAATGTTCAAGTCCATACAATAAACAAACACACAAATTATTTTGGCCTGTTTTTTTTTTTTTATATTCATAAAAAAATTGAGTAAAAGAAGCACATTCAGCTTCTGAAGCGCTGATGACTGTAACAATAAACAGTGCTAGTTGCTGGATAAAATGTAGAATTTCCTGTGACAATGTTTAAACACTAGCCTGAACATGTGGCCACTGCAATCACTCAGTTAACTTGTATGGTTTTTCACATTTGTTTTACTGACTGTTGAACACAACACATCCTATTAAGATACAACATTAACTCATTAACACTCACAGAACAGCTCATTAACACTGAATTAATGACATCCAAATCCAGGGGAATTCTTTATCCCAAAATCCATGTTTGTTTTAAAGGTACTGTAGCAGTCCAGTAGAGGAAGCTTTAAAGTATTGGCACATGTGTTTGCCATTGGGAATGTTGAACTTGCGAGAAACTCAAGGCGTGGCTTTGGATCCATTCCAGCTGGAGGCACGCGTGGCACCCCTGTGGCAAACATGAAGAGCTCCTCCAAGGACACCAAGGTGTTATTTTCTAAAAATTGACAGATATGAAAATAATCAGCTGAATGTAAACAGTCTCACTCTCTGTCTGTCTCTCTCACTCTCTGTCTCTCTCACTCGCTGTCTGTCTCTCTCTCTCACTCTCTGTCTGTCTCTCTCACTCTCTGTCTGTCTGTCTGTCTCTCTCACTCTCTGTCTGTCTGTCTCTCTCACTCTCTGTCTGTCTCTCTCTCTCACTTTCTGTCTGTCTCTCTCTCTCACTCTCTGTCTGTCTCTCTCTCACACTTTCTGTCTGTCTCTCTCTCTCACTTTCTGTCTGTCTCTCTCTCACTTTCTGTCTGTCTCTCTCTCTCACTTTCTGTCTGTCTCTCTCTCACTTTCTGTCTGTCTCTCTCTCTCACTTTCTGTCTGTCTCTCTCTCTCTGTCTATCTCTCTCACCCAATTTGAAAACCCCTGTAATAGAGCAAATTACCTTCACAATCAAGTAGGTAGTCTGCCCAGAAGCTCATGGTTTTGTCCTCCTGGACCTTCCTGTTGCTTCCATTTGGACTCAGCTCAGGTTGGAACATGTGTTCAACCTCTGCAGCAGTTAACCTTTTGTTGACGTGGCAGAGGACATCGGTCAGAACTGAAGGATGCTGTTGTAGAGCCGTTAAAAACTGCAAAGTGGCAAGACCGGCTTTGAATCTAAAATACAACAGCAGGATGATAATGTGATTAATCCTGTAGCATGGTTAGGTGCCTTTTCAGCATTCAAACACTTCAAACACAAAATTTCTAAGATTTTAAGTTTTCTGATACACTTTTCCATAGCCTATTTCTAAGGATAAGTACTAGAAGAGTTTTATGTACACTGTATTTGCTAGTTTGCAGAGATAACACAATAGCCTTTTTTACAATAAACATTTGTTGTTGAAATATAGAAAAAAAAATACCTGTCAATAGCAGCATGATTCCTGTCGATGATGAACCACCACAGGTAGTCCTTCACAATTGTGTCTTTTTCCTCCAATGACTTCACATATCTGAAACACCCAGCGGTTTGCAACATGGCACTGTTCTCTGCCAGCAGGTCTCGCAGATTCTCCAGGGACGCTGCATTCTGAATCTAAAAGAAACACACACATATATATATATAGTTTACTGTATTATGCAGGTTTCAGTAATGTGCTTTCGAACATGTACGAAAGTAATTAAAAGTAATCATTAATTAACATGGTCTAAAGAAAAGTTTTACATGAACAAAACCTTTCTTTTTACCAACAAAATCTCTGCCCTGGCCTCATACCTCTCGTAGCACTTTCCCTATTTCCTCATCTGTAATGTCTGCTACTGATGACTTGAAACTGGATTTCCCTGAGATGAAGCTGACCAGATCTTCCGACAGAAAATTTGGACCAGGACCACCGTGTACTATGGACAAGGCTATCATCTGGCCGGCAAAATAATATTCATCCCCTCTTATTGCTGCCAGTAGATATGCAAAATAAACAATTATTACATTTGTTTCTATATTTTAAGGCATTGGATGGTTGAATTATGTAGTAGTTTACACAAAATAGAACCTGTTGTATTGTAAACAAGGTAGCGGCTCTCCACAGGTCCATCAAATATGGGTCGTTTGTTCAGCTCTTTCATGAGCAGTGAGAGGAATTCCCTCTTCGGCCCGCCTGTGTCGACACATTCCTCAAACCTTCCAGCATCATCAGAGAACTTAACTAGGAGGTCATAGTTTTCAGCAAATGTTCCCCTTTTAAGTCCCCTAACAGCCCCATCCCAGATGTCAGAGCGACATATGTTAAATCTGCTGACATGTTTATGGTCAATTTGGAGTGTCAGATTTTTTATTATTTCTGAAACTGACAGTAATTCCACCCTGAAACCAAATAGAACAAGACTATTTTTACTTCATAAACATACTGTGTATGGTAAATTACAGCAGATTAATTTAACCACAATAAAACTCCACAATTGTTGAGCAAGTGAGTTCTTACTCTGTATCCTTTGGAATTATATGGCTGTCCACGTTCACGTCTTCTTCATCCTCGATCACAATGGGTGAATACAACTCAGTGTATTTTCTAAGAAATTAACACCAAAAAAAATACATTTTGGTATTTGTAAATAAATAATATTTGTGATTTGAAAAGTGACGAACAATACCTGTAACTTACGGAGCCCGCCCGATGACGTACGCGAAAAAAGATATTAAATCGTGGCCTCAAATTACTATTTCGTTCCCACAATATAGAATTCGTTCCCACACTTTAGCTAAATCGTTCGCACGTTTTAGATATATCGTTCGCACGTTTTAGATATATCGTTCGCACGTTTTAGATATATCGTTCGCACGTTTTGATTAAATCGTTCCCACATTTTAGCTAAATCGTTCCCACGAATTAAGAAAATGCCGCCAATTAAACAAACAGGGCGTGGTGTTCGGTTGATTTGGCAAGTCCTTGCATGGCTAGCTGGACCTCGGACTTCAGCAGACACAAATAAAGGTAAGATATATCATTATTTATATGTTTCCCCCCGATTTTGACAACGTATATTGTTCCCTACTCAAATGTATGCTTATGTAAATGTAGGCTTATATAAAATCCAGGATCGTGTAGTAGCGTGGCATAGTGTGCATGCTATAGCTAAATAAGAAAACAAAACAAAATGCTATCTTAAATACTAGCGAGCTAATGCTGCTTGCTTATAGTGGAAATGTTATGGAGTAAAGTGACAGTAAAATTGTCCTAATTGTTTACCGTGTGTTCATGTAGCAATAGATGCTCAACTGCTGCTTTTTTGAGGGAGCGTAACACAGGAGGGAGTCATCCAGACACTGAAGGATGAAAATGTAAGTTTCTCTGTTTTTCCACCTCAGAACATTGATCTCGTAACATCTATAGCCTACAATACAAGTGCCAAACACACATCCATGTAGAATGTAAGATACCGATTTGGATGAAATGCGAATAGACCTGTATAGACCCAGTGTTAGCCCCAATTTCGTCTTAGCGTTAGCCATCTATCACCACAAACTATGAAATACCAGGACTGTTTTTGAAGACTTACAACCACTCAACTACACGTGAGTAACACCAGAGCCTGATAGAAATCACTGCCACATGTAGAATTGTTTTTTTTATTGTTCATTGACGTAGCGATTAGCATCGAAATGAAGTGAAGTTATATGCTAACGACCACGTAATAAACATTTCGTAAATCTAACGCTATGCTGGACAATAATACGCTAAAAAATAAAGAGGGCCACAACAGTTCGATTTATTTCATCCAGAGCCACATAAATCCTGCATACAGTGAACTTTGAAGACTAGTGCTTATTGACACATGTAAGTAGACCGTGTCCTCAGCATCAAGCACCTCACTCCTAGAATAACTCTGGTACTTTGTGTCAGGACCTGATAAAACTTTTACATTTATTGTCCTGAGTATATATTTAATGAATACCTTTATACATGGTTATGCTATTACCATGATACAATGTGTAACACACGTGAAGACAGAGGCCAGAACTTGTTTGTAACAGTGTGACTGAAGAAATAGGAGTAATAGGGCTACAGAAAGATATTGTATGCACCATCACATTGCCCAGATCTCTCACTTAACAAGATCTTGATTCTTGCTAAAATATACATCGACTGTTGGTACACTTCATAATATAGAACAATGTACTAAAACATGTTAACGTAATAAAGTGTATTCCAGATAGTAGTGTCCTGTTACATGCCTCCTTAAGATATAAATTATTTTGCAATTTCAAGACAAGTCAACTGCTTTTGGAGTGATCTGACTGTGTGATGAAAGCAATACCATGTAGAAAAAAGTCAATGGGTGAAACAGCGACATTTTCATATTTTAATTGAACTTGTATACTGTATAGTTGACAATGGTTCTCAGTTTTATGCTATTAGTTATAGTAAGGTTTGTTAGAAACACTTTTCAAAATAGTTTTCTAGATAGCCAAACATCCACCGTTTAGAATAAATAGAAAAACTGGCAAAGGACAAATTCAATTTGTCAAACAGACTAAAGCTTTTTTGAGTGAAAACGTTTCGCAGCTTATCCAAGCTGCTTCTTACTTCTGGTCAGATGCTGGTGGATATTGCCTTATATTTGCCTGAAGGGAGGCGCTAACTATACAGAAACTACTTTGAAAGTAACACACCTACTTGTTTACAGTTTTTGTTAGTAAGTGCAGTACAGTAGACAAAGCTAACAAATAGAAACTGTAAACAAGTAGGTGTGTGCATTTCAGAGTAGTAGTTTCAGTTTTTGAACATTTTCAATCAAAAAAAACTTTTGTCTAGTTGACAAATTGAATCCTTTGCTATGGATTAGGGATTTTACAAACAAATAGGAAAAACTGTTAGGAAAAGCTAGAAAAACAGCTATGAACATAAATTTAACTGTAATAAGTCATCCACCCATCACCCACTTTGTCCACTTTCTTTTTGTTTCATGTGCGGACGAAGAGGAGGAGGAGGAGGAGAAGAAGGAAGAAGAGGGTCCGAGGGTCCCGCATCATTTTGAGATGAGTTTTTTGACAAAGACTTGAATGTATGGTTTCTTTTCTTGAAGATGCTACTTAAGTGTGCTGCTTATTTTCTGCAGAAAAGTGACGATGGATATTCATTCTGTCAGCAACTTTTGGGATGTACTTTGCAGGTCATGGTCAGTCATTAATGGAATGACAGTTTCGTCAATCTGAAAAAAAAAATAAAGAGAATGTATTAAATCATATAATCAAGCATACAAATGAACACACCAAGGCTTCACATTTGTGGCACCCTGGACATATTTGCTATAAAAAGACACCCCACAATAAATTTTTATTTGGTAATGTTCTGACTGTATTTTGGTTAATTTATGTGTGGCACTAATTCACTTTTAATTATTCTTATAATTAAAGTACCAAATATAATTAATACAAAATTAATCCAGTAGGTGTTGGTAATGGCACAATGACCTTTATTGTTTATATTATTGTATTACTATTGTGTATAATATTAATGTATAATTCCAGTTTATATTGCATATGTAATTTCAAGTGCAGGTGGTTCAAAGTATTAACTATGGGGTTGCTTTTATGGGCTTACTTTTTATAGGGTTACTTTTGTCTCATTAATATTCACAAATGCACAGATGGTGATCTACAAATAGTCATTGGTTTGTACATGTATTTTGATATCCACAAATGCCAATTTAATATTTGTAACTTGTATTTTGCTATTTACAAATAGATGGGCATTTGTAAATATATATTTTTTCATTTGCAAAAAATAATTTCATTTATAAAACTGAAAATTCTGTTTGTAAAATGTGATTCGCATTTGTGGATCACCAGTTCCATGAATCCACCGATTCCCGGTATGACATAATTTTGAGACGCTCAAACTCATAACAGATCCACAAATACAGACACGTTCTTGACCAGCAGGTGGCAGCAGCTGGCACGCGCGAAACATTTGACTGTTGAAATGGAAGCGTTTCTTGCTAACTTAACGTCACTTAGGCAAATTTTTACCTTTATCAAACGCCTCAACAGCTGAGGACTAAACCAGAACTGAACCAGGACCGAGTGTCTGAACGACCGGAGTTGTGCCCGCGGTGGCGGTGGGTGGACCGGCTCAGAGCTCCGCGCCCCGCGGGGCTAAACGCTGCCGTCACCGAAACGCGCTCCGCGGATTTGTGGTCCTCTTTCTCTCTCTCGCTCGTTCGCTCGCGCTCTCTCTCTCGCCTTCTTTCTTTCAAGTCCAGGACTAATCTTTGTGGAGAGAGAGGGGACGGGGTCCTGGTTTAGTCCTGTTTTAGTCTAGTTCAGTTCTGGTTTAGTCCTTAGCTGTTGAGGCGTTTGATAAAGGTAAACATTAGCCTAAGTGACGTTAAAAGTTAGCGAGAGACGCTTCCATTTCACATGTTTCCATTTCGCATGAGTTACACACTGTATTAGCTCTGGATGAAATAAATCGAGGGGTTTCTTGTCAAACTGTTGTGGCCCTCTTTATTTTTTTTTAGCGTATTATTGTCCAGCATAGCGTTAGATTTACGAAATGTTTATTACGTGGTCGTTAGCATATAACTTCATTTCGATGCTAATCGCTACGTCAATGAACAATAAAAAAAACAATTCTACATGTGGCAGTGATTTCTATCAGGCTCTGGTGTTACTCACGTGTAGTTGAGTGGTTGTAAGTCTTCAAAACAGTCCTGGTATTTCATAGTTTGTGGTGATAGATGGCTAACGCTAAGACGAAATTGGGGCTAACACTGGGTCTATACAGGTCTATTCGCATTTCATCCAAATCGGTATCTTACATTCTACATGGATGTGTGTTTGGCACTTGTATTGTAGGCTATAGATGTTACGAGATCAATGTTCTGAGGTGGAAAAACAGAGAAACTTACATTTTCATCCTTCAGTGTCTGGATGACTCCCTCCTCTGTGTTACGCTCCCTCAAAAAAGCAGCAGTTGAGCATCTATTGCTACATGAACACACGGTAAACAATTAGGACAATTTTACTGT